TCACTGATTACATATACACAGGCTTGCGAATTTCCTCCACTCGGAAGGCAAATAGGAAGGTAAAGAGGACTGATTACAATCACACATAAAAGTTATGGAGGTTACCGACTTTATGAAGTTCAGTCGTCGATGACCTTTGTCTTAGATACAGATTGAGAAGAGAAGAAGGTAAGAAGAAGAGAAAAGATCTTATGAGAGAGAAAGTATGAGAAGATCTAGATCTAAAGAAACTATGCTGCTGTGCTGCTGTGCTGCTGCTGCGAGATCGTCTGCTAGTATGCTGGAAGATATCCTTGATGCTCTAAATTCTTCTTTGTTGAAGAGGTATTTATAGAGGGCTTGGTCTTGAATGAGTGGTTGAAATCAATTGCTTGCTGATGAAGGCAAAGGATGTGATTGGCTGAAGGAGGTTGTGGCTCAGGATTGATTGCTTGCTGGAGAAGGGATTGTATATAACGAGACCATTTACCTTTGATACAAGGTGGTCACAATTACTTATAACCATCCAATGTGAAATTTGATAGCTTGGGTGTGTCATAAAATTCGAGAAAATTTCCTTTCAAGTTTGAGCTTGGTCGATGGAATAAATGCAGCCACCTAATTTCACATCCAAAGATCAAGATTAATTGTGACCATTTTGTACCAAAGGTAAATGGTCTCATTCTATACTTCTCCATGTATAGACATATATATATATATATCATCATCATCATCCAAGCCTTATCTCAATTAATTAGGGTCAGCTATATGAATCATGTCCCTCCATTCCTCTCTATCAAGGGTTAATAAGACCAATAACATAGGTTCAGGATTCATGATAAAATGTGGCAAAGTTTTATACTGGTTGTTTACCTAACGCAACCCACTTCTTTTACCCGGGCTTGGGACAAGGGAAAAGTTTAAGGTCCTCACCCTTCTTAGACCGATGTACTTTACATACTTAAAATGCAATAATTTGTTGCATTGCAATTCATCAACCACTCCAGCAACCCTCAACAAAAGATTGAGAGGAAATGAAAGGACACTATTTTAAGAACCAAAAAAGTACCAAAGTATGGTAGGACCACTACAATACCTCAACCTCACTTGTTTGACATAGCCTACGTGGTAAATCAAGTGCGTCAAATTATGCATGCACCTACCAATGTTCACATGAGGCATTAAAATACATAATGTCCATATGTTAAAGGCACCATCAATCATGGCATTATATACCTAAAAAATACATAAATGGTGTATGCATCACTTCCATCATTGGCTACACCGACGCCGACTGAGCAAGAGATCTTGATTCACCCAAATCAATCTCAGGATATTGTGTTTATTTGGAATCTGATATCTTGGAGGAGCGAAAAGCAAAAGAGCATAGCATGATCCAAGGAGTTTAGAGCATTAGGCAGCATTGTGGTAGAGATTTCTTAGGTCTAGAATTTGGCCATATCTTTTGGTTATAAAGTACAACAATACAGTATCTATTGCAATAATCAGAGTGCAGTTGCTATTGTAGCTATTCCTATTTCTCAACTCTAATGATCGTACTAAGCACACAGATATCGTTTACCATTTTGTGTGCAAGAACATAGAAGTAGAGGCGATTTAAATGGATTATATTGGCATCAAAATTCAAAACCCAGATTGCTGGCATTTTCACCCAATAGCTCACCAATGAATGGTACCACTTTCTAAAAGGCAAATTTTACATGTTCAAGGACATTTAACAATTTGAAAGAGGTGTTAGACCATGCTTTAGAATATGTATCGTATGTATAAGAGGCATTATTGTCATCTGTTTCGTTATTTTATTAAATAATGTGATATCTTTGGAATGATGTTAAAGGCCTTTGCGTAATCGCACATACCATTTGATGTTATAATCAAGATGCTGCCCAACATAGATAGAGATTCACGCATCTGTCTCTCTCTCAAGCTATCATGTTGTTTCTCTCGTCCTTATCTTTCTTCTTCTTCTTGATGAGATATCTTTTTTCCTCTTCTTGATGAGATATCCAACTAACCATTAAGCCGGAATCCACCCAATCGATTCTCCCATTGGACTGCCCCAAAACTTGGCACCAACAAATTCAATTTCAATGGATGTTCACCCAACAACCCCAGCCAGTGTCAAAGGGGTTTCTAGGGATTGTCAGGGTGATACACTTTTGCCTTTCTTGGGGCTTGTTAGACCTCCTACTTCAACCATGGCGAGGCCCTCACGCTGCTCCGAGGGCTCAAATTATGTCACCAAAGTTGGGGGCCGACCCAAGTGGTTGAGGGTGATTTGAACATGCCATCAACTAGGCAAACAAATGCCACACAGGTCCTTGGAGACTAAACACATTTCTGAGAAGAGTTTCTTTAAACCACACATGGTGTGAGGCCAACAACATTGCAAACAGCCTGGCAAACAAGGTACCCTCAATGCGAGCTTCTCATCAACCACGCATAAGAAACCCAAACCAAAAAAACTATAACCACAGCTCCACCCTCGAGCATTTTTCAAGTCGTCTGAGTTTTCTCCTTAGTGGGCTACTTTTTTTAAGGCCTTCGTACTGTAAATCTTGTACACAAGCAGGGTTGTGCAAATTGTAAAGCATATTGTTATATCATACAAAACAACCTCATTAAAAAAGGGATATCAAACTAACAACATCCACCCACATGACGAACAGAAAAGCAGAATGTGGATCCCCCTCTAGGTTTCTGCAAGAAGTGAACATGCGTTTCGAGCGATTATAAGCAAGGAGATGGTTTTACTCAGCATCTACCAAAGCTTACCACCAGGAAACCACTGAGACATTGTCGACAGCCAAAGTCAACTCACATGACATTGCTACTTTGATTTTGTTGCGGACATCAATGTACAAAGCATAGATGAAGCGTCTTCATTATGTTTAAAATTCATTATATCAGTATACAAGTTAAATAGATTAAGTGACATTGTATGTTAATCATCTGTGACTGCTCTTTCTCCAAGGAGATTAACAGGTATCAACATTTCCCATTTTGCAACATAGTGTGTGCCCCATGAGTAGCCTCGACAATCAATAATTAAAAATAATTGTGATGGACCTTCACTTGGACACTAGTTAGGGCTGAGTTCCATGTTAACTTTCCCTTCCCTCAAATCTAAATATTTGTTCTGTAAATGATTTCTTCTCTATCATTTTTCATTCTTATCAAGCAAACAAGACATGGGAACAAAGAAAAAATTGCTCAAGCACAAGCATAATAGCATATGAACTCCTTAACCCATTCTGATGCATATTAGGAGCTTACAGGAACATCACAAGCATAATAGCATATGAACTCCTTGACCCATTCTGATGCATATTATGAGCTTACAGGACATCACAAAACAATATCTTCCAATCAAGCATCAACGACTTAAGTGTCTTGTTAGCTAATATGAATCATTTTAAACATCTACAATAGTAAGGAATGTAGAACAGTCACGACCTCACAATCTGAGAATTCTTAGCAAGTCAAAACGCTACAAAGCAAAAGAAAGAATTATCCTTTTTTCTACCTATAGCCATGATAAAATTTCAAATGCCCGCCATGGGAAGAACACGACACCTCAAAAATCAATGGAAGTGAAGAGGTTACCAGGACTTTGTTGGTCTTGATGTAGGACCATACTTTGATGAAAAGTTCAGGCAAGATATTTGAGATTGACCCACAAAGTTGAGGAGAGGACTAGGGAGATTGACATTTGACAGGGGCAATCAAGTTTCCCAATCTCTTGGGTGTGTAACCCATTGCCTTCCTTGTCTGTTCATGAGTGTTATGTCTATCTGAGGTGATGAAAATTAAAGCACTATGTTCCAAAATCCTATCGCTAAACTACATGGGGAAAGAAAGAAAAAAAAAAGGAATTATAGCTTTATCATATTCACATTCATGGAATTCATGTTTGAGAATGTTTATGTCTAGTATAATGCCAGCTTAACTGCATTTTTCAGCACTAGTCACAACCTTCGCAATATGTCCGCATGCATGTGTGTGTGTGTACCCCCCTCCCCAACTCCCACCCAAAAGAAAAAAGGGGTCCTAACCCATTTCTCCAACCCTCTTAGTTGTCATGAACTTTCATCCATCCAAGACCTCACTCGAACTGATACCAAACCCACAATCACCTAAAGCATACGAAAATCCTCTATACCAGCCAGTTAAAACAAGACCTGCTCTGTCTTACAACACCATAGAACAAAGTAGTAAGACCACCCTCTCGTTTCCACTTCTGACTAGTACGCATATCTGGAATCCGTCCAACTATATAACTGTGGCAAACAATGGCTAATCAAATTAAATGAGCCACTGTCGTAAGCCCATACACCATGCAAACAAATATCTACTGGTTAGTAAGCCAATAATCAGAGAGAATTATCAAGCCTAGCAACAAACTGCACATGAAATGAACAGCTATGGTGATTTTGATTTGTTATGCCACACATACTGACCCCATTACACTCGTACAGATACTCTTGTTCTGCTAGCAATGGGATTATAAAATTGTGCTATCTTTAAAGCGACGAATCTATTATGAATCTATTCCGAGTACCCAATACTGATTCCTCAACTCCTACGAAGCCCTGTATGCATCTAACATTGAAAGAAAACATTGACATGGTATATGACATGAATAAACCAAGCACAGATACCGTATATTATGCCAAAAAATACCTTCTATCATTAGTCTTGTCAGCTTCCGTGATCCGTGGAGCCGGTTGATAATCAATTTGATAATCACCTTTTCCCCTGGTACAAATACGATCACAATTACAATGATGAAAAAATAATGTGGTGTTTTGAGCTTTCAAAAAAATTATAAAGTAACCATAGCAAAAACAAGTATTCACATCCACACCAAAAAACAGCAAAAGATGATCGAGGTGAAAAAAGATATTCATATTCCCAAAGTCCAAGAAAGTGATCATAATAGTTCGAGCCCTCACCTAAATAATAAGAAATTCATAAATGTGGAAATAATAACAACACTAATGTAGTCATCGCAGAAACCAACATCGCAGAAGCCATTAACATAGCAAAACATGAAAATGGATTTAGAGTTGAGTATATCAAAATTAAGAGTACCTGGCATCCGCTTTCCCTAAGACCTCATCAGGATATTGCCGTCCATACTGTTGGCGCCACCGGAACCTAACATGGAGCATTTACAACATCAAAGTGTTTGTATTTTTATTGGTTTCATAATATTCAAGTGTTCCTCCTTTTTCTACATTTGTTTCGACATCTGAGTGGTGCAAGCAAAGTGAATAATTCTTCATAGTGAATGGGAATCTTGAAATTCTCCCTCGTTATATCACAATATCACTAGCCACGCAAGAAGTTTATTAAAAGAAATTAATAAATCTGATGAAATCCAAACATATTCCAACAAATAAACCATTGTTTTAAAGGAAAGACTCAGATTGCGACTTGCTGGGATCCTAAAACCAAATCAGGCAACTCAACAAAGCCAAATCTGTTGACCTGACTCAGGCTCAGGATTCTAGCTAGTTCTGACCGGCTTCTTTTCTAACACTGATTGATATACAGAGCATTAAACATTGTGTTCTCATGTCATGTTCAATTATCATACAATTTTATAGTTTACAACTTCGCACTAGCCAAAAATTCATAACAAAAGACATTTAATAAACCCAAATAGCTCTAGACTGATTAAAACTCAAAATCTAAAACTAAGGCAAATCATTGTCATAATATGGTTAATTGCAAACAGGATATATCATATATAGTAAAAGAAAGTTCAAAACAACGAAGCAAAGGTAACATGATCAACGCAAAAAACTAAAAACGTATAAATTAAAAGTGAAGAAAAGAACAAACAAGAAACAAAATATTAGTAAAAAAAGAAAAAAACTTTGAATCCTCATAGTGAACAGAACTTCATAATTTAAGAAAGGAAAAAAAACGACACATAGCTAACATGATCAACACAAAAAACTAGAAACGTATAAATTAGAAGTGAAGCAAAACAAAAACAAGAAACAAAATATCAGTAAAAAAAAGAACTTTCAGTACTCACAGTGAACAGCATTTCATAATTTATAAAAAATAAATAAATAAAAACTTGAAACAATTTCCAAACGACAATAACAGAATAGCATATTTGTATTAAAAAAATTGGACCAAGTATACGCAAAATATCATTCAAACCAAACAATACAACACTATCCCACCTGCTTCAGATGATCTATACGATCTCCATTAAGTGGAAAATTCTCAGATAGTTTAATTCCAACAAAATAATTATTAATCAGAAAAATTTTCAGATGAATTTAGATGACCCAAAACGAAAATGAAATACAACATATGGTTAACGAAAATATGGAAAAAAAAATCATCGCATTTTCCATTAAACACTTACGCGAACTCTTGAAATGCGTAGACTAGAGGGTCAATCTTGGGAATCACGACAGGGAGCCTTTCAAAGAGCACAGATGCTAAGATCTTCTCAGAAGAAGACGTGCAAAACCCTAATCCTAGTTTTCTCAGAGAAAGCGGAACTGAGGTCTTAAGTCTCTGCATCCTTTACCCCTGTACGCAAAACCCTAACCCCATACTAGTTTTCTCGGAGGAAGTGGAATCGAAGAGAGGAGCTCTGCATTTCTTAAAACCCCTTCACGAAAACCCGTTTCGTTTCCGATTACTGTGGAAAATGCTGAGCATTTTAGCACGTGTGTAAGACCCTTCGATCCGTTGGATCACAGTTACAAAATGCTCATGACGTGTTCTACCGCCCCATCAATAAATGACTGGTGATGAGGAGAGAGTGAAGATTGGTTCCTTGCTATCCTGGTGGGTCCTGAGTCCATCCATCACCATCTATTCATTGATTCTATGGTAAAAACAATTAAGAACTTTCTCTGTCTTCCTCGTATGCACCATAGTGTACATCTAACTCACCAGGACATTGGTGTGAATCATGCGTTAAATTTTTAATTTTCACACGTACACTACCATCTTATTTAGGAAAAGGGTACGATGACAACGATAACGATGAGGAGTACCAATTTTTCACATGGATTGTTGATTTTTAAAAAGTTTAAGGGTTTATATATCTACTCAATTTATATTATTTTTGGAATTTTAATTTTCAGTATTAGGTAGCAAATTTGTTTTCATCTCTAATTATAAAATTTAAGTATTAAAAAATAGAATAGATTGAGCATATCTATTAATATTTAAAAATCTTAAAAATTGACGGCCTAGATAATATATTACAAAATAAACTATTTTCAGTACTTGAATTCTATGCTTTTCTCATGTACATATATCTTGAGATCAAAATAATTGAATTGAGGAAACTTAAACTTTCTCATTTTAAAAGGAAAAAGGAAACTTTAGGGAAAGTATTAGGAACCTTATCTTTTTTAAAGAACTTTTTCCTCCTCAACCAAAAGCAAAACTGCTACAGTATTAGAAAAGCTATCTTTTTTGAATTTTTCTTTCTTACAAACATACACGCCCTTAGTGAACTTTTATGGTGCGCCTTGCCTTAAATTGATTGTTTAGGGCCTCCAACTTATTTAAACTTTTTGGAATTGTTTCCCCTACTGCATAGAAGATATATACTTCTCCTCCAATCTAGCAGTCCAATTTAGATCAAATGAGTCATTGACTGTTTGATCTAGAAAGCCACCCTTTTTTATTTTACCATTAGGTAATATATCTATTTTTTATTTTAATTGGTACATAAATAAAATCTATTTTAAATATTTCAATGGACATGTTATTTAAAAATAAAATTTCGTAGTTAAATATTGGAAGTAATTAGGAAGGTTAAATTCTAAGAGTCATTTTATTTTGAAAATAGCAAACTAAAAGAACTTCAAACAAATAAGTCTTGGCTTAATCCCTTGTATGCAAGACAACTCTTATCTATTAGGTCTCTATTATAGATGGAAGAACCTCACAGAAGCAGTTAAATTAGGAAAATTAAATAAATAAACATTATTACAAACCCCAAAAATGGGACTTTGAGAGAACAAAGAGGAAGCCGAAGAAACAAAATCAACGTTAAGAATTGGATAGAGTCTTATAGAAGTTAGAAACTGGCCTGCAGTCTGATGAATCTTCCAACAAGATCATCTAACAAACCAATTTCATCGTATGCTCATGCATATTAACATGGATATGTCGAGGTAAAGTATTTCATAGATGCACAGCACAAATCTCGCCAGGAAAATCAGTTCGAGTCAACTCAATATTTGCAAATCAAACTTCACCAGGAAAATTGTTTTCGGCCAAAAACTTTACAAATCCGTCACCTCCACCTCCATGAATATGGGTCGAAAATATAAAATCCAAGCCCTAAAACCGATCCATCTTGCAACATTTCTTTTAGGCCGTTCGTTACAAATATTCATAGATCTGCCAGACTTCCACCATTTTTATTGCCGAATTTACCTTATGTCCGAAGGTATTAAGAACTCCAAGTAAATAGCAGACAAAATTGAAAGAAGGAATAATGAATGGGTATGTATCAAATGTTTGTTATTTTATGAGAATGAAATGATCTTTATGTAGGATGTCATAAAAACAGATGATGCACACTAACTTACTCTTTCATTGTGGAAATCAACATTTCAATTCACCAAAGAAGCTACCATGAAATTGATCTACGCGTTACATAGTTTCAAGAGGTACCACTTTCAAATATTAATAATAAAATGAATTATAGCATATAACACTCAATGGAAAAAAAAAAACACAAAAATACGGAGAGAGAGAGAGAGAGTGTGTGTATAATATGGGAATGAATAGAAGCATTAAAAAAAATATTCTATTGAATGGAGGCATTGAAATATTATATTTCCCACTTGAACATTATTGTAGTCCTATGTTACAATTTGTTGTATGGCCCATTTCATAGCTTCAATAATGAATCCAGCAAAGTGGTAAGAGGAATTATGCGTCCCATACTAAACATTAGTTTACTTGCACTCTAAATGTGAAGGTCAATCATGATTCATTCCTTAGTACTGGGCGTCATTTACCAATCTTATTTTCTCACCCATTCATTCTTCTCCATTAAGAGGAAAGAACAAAGCTTACAGTAGCGAAAGGTCCACATGCTCTGAACACATAAAAGATGCACAAGGACCTTTTAATGGTTTAGATTCAACCACCCTCATCCAAGGGCTAAAATTGAAGTTTTTATTTTATTTTATTTTTTATTTAAAAATGATATTGATCTAAAGTTTAGATGTTAGCCTCATTTTTCTAAGTAGAATTAAATAAAAAAATAAAAATATTGATCAAAATAAATGTAAGTTTGGTTATTTTTTATTTAACATATTTTAAATACTTTCCTAGTTCTATTTATAAAAATTAAACCTACATCCTCAATTTTAGATAAATATTTCATTTAAAAAAAAATAAAAAATCGAAATATTAAATCAGTTTGTGGCCGTTGGGTACCCCCTTATGAAATCTCAACCAACCATTACAAGGGCTCTTGTGTACCTACGGCATCCACGTCATTTGGAAGCGATACTTTTCCAAAATAAAAAGTTATTTGTTAGAGGTAATCAGTTTGGTTGAGGGATGTCAAGACTTTAAATCCTTGAAGACAAAGCTGACCCACCTCTTCTGTTAGGACAGGCTCGGTGGTGTGGGTGACGGGTGCTACAATATCTTAAATTTCAATCCTATGGGGTAGAATATCCCTTCTCTGCTTAACTACGAAAATAAAATAAGTTTTAAATGGTATAAGTGAGAGGCAAGAATCTCCCTCTTCCCCTCCATGCATGAGGGTCATAGGATAAGTAAAGATGTGTGTCGAGTGAGAGAACCTGGGTGAAGAGAAGTTTTTGGGCACCATAGCCATAGTCATTAGAAAATTAAAAAACATGAGATTATCACTGTAAAAAAATCGTATTTCTGTATATTTGGGCCATAAGCCCTCATAGAAGTTGTATTATTGAACATAACAAAGATGTGAATAAGTGCCTCAATTTATAGGGTTATCAAGTTATGTACTACTAAAGAATTAATCTATGTAATGATCCACCTTCCTAATATGGGTACATATAAAAAGAAAGAAAATATTGTACTCATAATAAATGTAGGTTTCTATAATATTCACACTCTCCTCAAACTTAAGATGGGTGAAGAGAGAGCAACTTGGGTTTCGACAATTGAGGCAGACCTTACTTACAAAGCAAAAACAGAAGAAGCATGAGCAGCTGCAAATTAACGATCTTCAAACATCGACATATCGAACAGAGCAGTATTGTATAACAACAAATCAAGAGGCCTCCAGAATAGACTGAATCAAAACAAAACTCGATCATCACATAGGATGGAGTAACGAAAAGTTTCATCCCATAAGATTGAGTAACGAAAAACTCAATCATTCTATAAGATTGAGTAACAAAAGCCTCAATCATTCCATAGGATTGAGTAACGGAAAACTCAATAATTAAACATGGTCCAGTAACGGAAAACTTGATCTTCAATCAGGATCAAGAAATTCGATCATCAAACTAGAGGCACTTGGAAGAGCCAACAGAAATTAGTGGCGGATCAACAAGCATAGTAGGACCTTAGATTCGAAGTTGAGAACAATAAGATCCAAAGAGTCAAAATACAACTCGACAGAGAGACAAATCCGAGAGTCGAAACACGATTCGGCATAAGGACAAATCAAAGAGTTGAAACACGACTCGGAGAGAGACAAATCAAAGAATCGAAACACGACTTGGCAGAAAGACATATCTGAGAGTCGAAACACGATTCGGTGGCTGCTCTATGGATAGTACAGATCGGCCATTTTCAAAAGTCATTTTCAAAGGTGGATTTAGAGACAAATCATATTTTTTTCTATCATGAAAAAAATGGCAAAACAATGATTGATACCAACAACAAAAGCTCAGGTGATATAAGTAAATAGTATAGTCCTTCACGGTCAGATCAAATAAACAGAATGGTCCACAAGGTCACAATGGACCATAAGGCTCAACCCACTTTTTTTTTTTTTGGCTTGTGAGAGAACTTTTGGGTTTTTAGTTTTTCTGTAACAAACGGAGGCAAATCACATGAAGGCAAACTTTTGGGGTTTTAGTTTTTCTTTAGCAAACGGAGGCAAATCACATGAAGGCTTCTAGGAAAATCATGGGAGTTTCTTCTTTTTTTGTTGCGAACGAAAAGAAAGCACTTAGGGTTTTATTGCGAACGAAAAAAAAGTAGGGGAGAATGAAGATGAAAAAGAATGAGGGTTTTATTGCGAACGAAAAGAAAGTAGGGGAGAATGAAGATGAAAAAGAATGAAATAAACCGGGGGAAGTTGGGATTGAGTACTATTTTACAACTTAATTAATCAATTGTATGTCCCATCCTTTTCTTTATTATTGTTGAACCCATCTCATGGACATCACTAAACCAGTCATTGTTGTCATTACAACTAAATCTTATTGAGGATTGATGTTTTGTATTCTGAAAAAATAGATATGTCAATGTATAGTCAAAAGGACAGGAAAATTTTGAATATCTGTACAAGGGTGTTTCGATTCTATCTAAGTTTCGATATATATTCATACATGGGTATTTATCAGTACATGGGAATTTTGGTAATTTATACGGGACTCTATATATTGTAACGATGGGGTTCTTTTTAGGGTTAAGGAAAAACTTTGATTTCTTTTGTGTTTGTTTCTTCTTTCTTGTTTTCGTATATTGCTTTTCGTTTCTACAAATTATCATGGTTTGCCGAACCACGCATATCTTTGCATTGTGGTTGGTTGTCTCTTTCTTTTGTGTTTGTTTCTTCTTTCTTGTTTTCGTGGATTGCTTTTCGTTTCTACAAATTATCATGGTATAATTTGGCCTGTTTCTTGGATGAGGTTTTACAGGTTTATAGTCTCGACTGCTATGATTATGAATATAAATTAAAAAATCAAAATTCGAATATTAAAGGTAATTTATTTTGAACTTTTTCTTTCTTTATATAATTATGTTAGTTTTTCACATATTACAAATTTGTACTGTTTTAAAACCTGCAAATACATGGTTCTAAAAAGAAAATATCTTTTTTGGTGATAAGAAAATATCTTTTTTGGTGATTTGAGCTGTGTTTCATTTCCTAAATCTATAGAAAATACCAAGGGTATTCATGCAGCTGGCAATCCAACACAACAACGATTTCACATTTATTTCCAGTTATCAGGTACTGTGAAATCATAGTGTCAACTGTGTAGAGCTTGATCTCCACCTCAAGAACCTCCAACATATGGTGGAGATCATTTGAAACTTTTTGGAGGGACAATTGCAAACGGTTGACAAATTAATGGATCATCTAGACCATTTGTAGTCGGTCACTAATGGTGGAAATCAGTGTCCCACACATTCTAGGATGCAGGTATCATATCGTTTATTTGTCTAAGGGATATGAAACTTGGATTTTGGCCCTCAACAGCCGGAGCCAGTATTGTAGTTCTATAAATATATGTTCCTGAATGGTCAGGTTTAGGTGTGTTGGGGGATGCATCTCTTATAGTATGAGTCGAGCATATTATAAATTTATCTTGGAGATGAATGTTTTATTAAAAAAAATTTAGGTCCAACGTCTAAACCACCACAATCATGAAGTTTAAAAAAAATATTAAAAATAATACCTTTTCAATTTTTTTGTTCACAAATCATTTGAATTTTTCAAATATCATCAAACTGTATTGTTTGAGAGCTCCAAATTCATAAATCTAAGGTGAATATAAATTGAAAAGCTTTCTATGTTCCCCCTACAACATAGAAGTTCTATGTTCCCCCTACCATCCAGCCCTCTGTTTTTATCAAGAGAGCCACTCACAGTTTGATCTTAGATCTGACGTCTCAAAGTATTTTAGTTTTAGTTTTTTTAATACAATTTGTTTGAATATGAAATTTGGTACGTCCCATCTTCTCATTGGGGCGCACCTATGAAAAATATTAACAATAATTTTTCGATAAAACATAATGACCAAAATATGCATTGAAAATTTCAGGGGTATTTTGGTCATTTTATTTTATGAAAAATATTTTTTTTTATATTTTTCATTAGTGCGAGTTTAATATAGGAATAATTAATGCGAGTTTAATATAGGAATAGACATCCAAAATTTGGTTCCAAAACAGTTTATAGAAAAAAAATTAAAAACAAAACAGTATAGAGACGTGACATTGTGATTGGGGCAATCTTAACCCCCCATTAAAAAATGGAGGGTTAGATAAAAGGGAACATAGAACTTCTATGTTGTAGGGAGAACATAGAAAACTTTCCCATATAAATTTACAATACCTTTGATGTGTATTTCGGACACTATATACCTCGTCACAAATAAATGAATCCAACAAAACGAAACGGGAAATTAGCTACGAAATGTACCACCTCACATCTTTTGCATTACTCCAATTAACTAAAACTAGTTATACTAAGATAAATCCTAAAGGCCAAAACTACGACGCCTAATTGCTGTTATCATCATTGATATTTCCAATTGCTTATAATCAATACACGTTACTTAGAGATTAGGTAGAAACGCCCACCACCTCGTCACCTCGTATATACTTCAAATAAAAGTTCTAAAAGTGGTTTTCCGATGGGGAATTGACGGGAACTTAATTGGTTTTAGGATGGTATGGGTCCCAGGCTAGTTCTCTCTAGAAATTATTTTTTTAGTTTTTTTATTAAATTTATCTAATTTTTTTTAGATCTTTTTAAATCACCACCCCCATAAACTGTTATTTTATTTTTATTTATTCTACTTATTTTTAATTATTTTAAATTATCATTTCAGACTGATCCAATCTGCCGTAAATGTGTAGGTAGACATCTCCCCCATTCAAATTAACATTTTATTAATATTATTCCAACTACTACCAAAACATAACTAAAATTCTTTATTGTTATTATTATCATTATTATTGACCATAATTCTCGAGGAGAGTTGAGCTACCTTGCCCAATCGTGCCCAAAAAGATATTGCAATTTGACTCACACTCGTAACCAAAATAGGGTCACGCCAAAATGCTCACATCACCCTCTTGGTTTTAAAAATATTCAAAATATAATAATCGAATTTGAATTATTAAAGTAAATGAAAAATATCAGATTGCTTGTGACTAAATTTTGCTTTATATTCCAGCCGTTCTTGCCCCACGCCTAGATACTTTCCTTGTGCATGCGGATCTCCCAAAAGAAATAAAATAAAAAATGTTACAATTGCTATAAAATAATAATAAAAATATAAAAAATAAATTAATGCATTAACGACAGATTCTTAAATTTTAAAATGTCATTATCATTAAACCACAGCCTTTTACTAATTCCTAACATAAAGATATTAATTATTATAGTCATTTTCACAGGGGTGTGTCATTTACTCATTTCAAGCTTTCTACGTAGAAGAAACTTAGGGCAATGTGGATAAAAAATGACCAAGTGTTACCATAACTCCATAACCCCAAAAACCAAAAGAAACTAAATGTATTAGCGTGGGATTTCCTCTCTAATTACGGGCTATCATGTTTTATTGTGATGGCAATTTACCATATTGAATTCATGGGAGATAAGGTCTTAGTTCTATGTTATTGAGATCAGTCATCGAATTAGCTGGGAGATTTGACTTAGTTAAAATTGGTTTGATGTCAGGTTGTTGGATTAGATTTAAAAAATACAAATAATAGTTTCAAAATATGTAGTATATTACCAATTTCTTTTAGTTGGTTGTAATGACCACAATTGTTTAAATACTAAATTTAATAGATTTTGATCGGATTTGATTTTTATTTTGGACCAGACTAATCAAGACATTAATTAATGGTCTAACAATTCAGACCAAGTGATCCAATTTGGTATTAACAGTTATAACCCCAACCATCCATTCCGAAAATATACAATCAAACATGTCAAAAATGAAATCACCTTATGTTTTAAACATCATAATCAGCCCTGAGCTCCGGCATTGTTTAGGGCGAATCGACTTTGGGATTTCTGTTTTTAGAGTATCATACGACTTGAAGAATATTAGTTGGATCTCTTTAAGACTTTGATAGACTCCAAAACTTGGATCAAACCCGGATCATTTGCGCCCGATTGTTGTGGACCGGCGCCGGCAGCAGGTCGCTTGGTCCAAGTAACTCAGGTGAGTTCGAGCCCCCCTCACTGTATTTTGGATACGTTTTTCATTTTCTTCGTTAGTGACGTATTTATATCTTATTTCAATACATTTGACATACTTGGATTTGCTGGAAGTTTTGTCCAAGAAATGTCATTTACCAAAAAGGTGAGAATATTATCTCACCAATTTCCTTTGAAGGGAGAAAGAAAGGAAATTTGTGCTGAATTTCTTTGAAATCCCCATTTTCAACATGCTCATGATGGTGTAAGGAATCGAAGACCCGTTCAACTTTCAAGAACGAGGGCATTCCAATGAAAACCAACTCCTAAAGGAAAGAGTTTATAAAAGGTTACATTCTTATACTATACAAGTAAGACTCACCTCAAAAATCAATAAAAGAGAGTGTGCTAAAGTTGGAAATTTTGTTCAATTGATCATCTCCATTGCGAGATCTATAAGTATAAAGAAAGAAAATTTTCAAGTTGTGAAAATAGTGCATCGTTTTACAAGTTACCTGAACCGTCAATTTTCAAGATTTTCAAGTATATATAAATCCACACAATCTGCACCATTTTTTTAATTTAAATTTTATAATTAAAATTAAACATGAACTTTCAAGTCATTGTAGGGTTTTCTACGCATATATTTCAACAAAATTAAAAGATGCACCTTGCTTGGTGGTAACCTTATACACACCCTTGAAAAGATCATCAAATACTATCTATTTTTAAAAAAAATAAAAAATGTAAGGGTAATTTGGTAATTTTCTAGCATTGCCTGGAGTTAAAGGAACTCGTATGGTGGAGTGTAAGCCAACAAACAACGTTCAGTTCTCTCCCTCAATCCATCCTCACTCTCTCTCTCTCTAAAGCATCTTAAAATACACACACTCCCTCTCTCTCTCTCTCTCTCTCTCTCTCTCTCTCTTCGTTCTTCTTCGTTCTTACGTTACTACGTACGTACTACGTACTACGTACGTACGTACGTACGTACGTACGTACGTACGTACGTACGTACGTACGTAC